ATATAAAATACTAATTTTAAGTCGATTTCTTTAAGTTAAATTGTATTTGCTCATTAATTTTAATTCATTAAAAAAAGTTGTTTTTTTATTGAAATAAGCAATAGAATTTTTCAAAAATTGTACAAACACACGTTTAGTGTGTCCATCTGCTTCAGCACAAAACGTAACTTGACTTATTGCATAAAACATATATAAATTAGGTGGCCCGGTTTTTCTGTCGATTCGGGTGTTACGTCGTTGTTTACATGGACTGGGTGCATCCGATTATTCAATGATTTTTGAGAATGTGAGAATACATCAATCATTCCCATAAAGCAAATAATTCAAAATATTCCAAAATCAATAATCGAACAGAAGAAAAAAAAATATACGACAGTAAAAAGAGGATAAAATAAACAGATAAAAAATTTAAAAAATTGGGAGACACCAATTGACAGTCGTTCAATATTTGGATGATCGTTGACGACTATCATCTGATAATATTGACATGAACGAAAGGACTGTACTGGATCAACTTTCGTAGTAGTGTTTTTTTCTTCTTCTGTATGAGACGGAGATGTCCAGAATTTTTTATTGAGCAGGGCTTTCTTTCGTGATTTACAACATTGTCAGTGTTATCGGCGGAAAGTTATCGTCTTGAAAGACTAAATATAGTCGTTCATTCTCGACAACGAAAACAAATAAGACGATTCATTTTGTATAATCGAAACGATCCTTGCACCCCTCTCAAGCACCCAAAACATTGCGCAATCTGCCGCGGTTCTCCGATAAACCGGTGTCCCGAGGTGGGACACGGATAACAACACAGACGGACTGGACCGCTGAAAGAGATCTCTATAAATAGAATGTGTAACTAAGAATAGACACACACAAAAAAAAACAAGTTTTCTAAGCCAAAGATTACTTTGTTTGTCCATTTACATGAATCTCAATCTTATGAAATTGATTCGTAACGGAAAATAAAAATTATTTTTAGAAATATTCATTATTATTCAACTCATGAGACATTATTTTTTTTCCAATAACTTAAAAAATAAATACTAGAATAATTTTTATAAAAATTCATTGAATATCGATTTTATATTATAATTGCTTAAATTCTTCAAAAAATTGTACAAAAATGTCAATTTATATTATATTTTAAATAGTTAAAATTAAATCTATTGTAAAATCAAATTCTTCCATCATTATGTATATACGTCATTATACAACAACAGAAAATTGACAGTTTAATATTCTGTAATTATATCGTTAAATTATTTAATGAATTATACATCTATTTATATTGACATAATTTAGACTCAAAACATTTATTTTTGTGTAATAATGTACTTTAATTATATCTATTTTATATTAATTAGTTCTTTAATTAATTACATATATTTTGTATATTAACGTATTATTGTCAAATTTGAAGAAACATTCCACAAACGATAACAAAAGTTATTTCTTTATATTTATATGAAAGCAAAATTAAATGATTTTATGTAAATTCAATTAAAACTTATTTAAAAAATACAAAATTATTATAATTTATTATCGAAATATTGCGTATTATATTTTTTTTTAGACGATGGTAGTGGAAAATAACCATGTATTCAGGAAACAGGTGGCCAATTAAGATTTATGCTCTCCACTAATGGAATGGACAGAAAAAAAAACATATGTTGCTATTGGATGCAACGAATTTCTCTATTTCGTCTTCCACCAGAGATGCAAATGCGAAAGGCGAAAACCGCGAAGAGTTTATCCACGTGTTTGGACATCGTCCGATTACACCCATACATATGCATTTTTTTGTTCTCTCTCTCTTCAGAAATACCGTATTGGTTGCTGTTTTTTTGTTTCTATTCTCTTCATTGGTGTATATTTTTTTCACTTAGTTGTTTCCACGCTCTTAAAAATCCATCTTCGCATAAGCAAATCACACCCATTGCCTAAGGAAAGAGAATCAAGTGTTTGGTAATAAAAACAACCAGCAGTAAACAAATTTGAATTCTTCGCTAATCTATTTTTTTTGATACCTTAGTTCTTTCAATTAATATTTACCGTTAATGTTGATGGTATTGAAATGTGTTTAAATTGAAAATAAATGGGGGAATTCGCGAAAAAGATACGCCAGAAACGCAACAAATTGCGTTGCTAGGTGTTCTACATTACACTTCGAAAACAATTCGATCAGCAAAATGTTAAAAAATTAATTAACAAAACTAGTCGTGTCTGCAACAAAATGTTGTTTAATATCGAAAAGGAAAAGCATATTATGTGTATCGGAAGGGATCGAATTACAGCTGTACAAGGCTTTCTTCAAATTGATGAAATCAAGGGTTGCTCATCAAATCCCATCTTCCCTTAATAAATATATATAACACCACGATTTCGTTTGTTCTTCTTTATGTAATCAAAAATCGTGTCACTTCCTGGCGATTGTGTAATCTATTTATACAACAATCGCGAGATTCTAATCGGTGCATACATTCGAAAAAAAAAGTGCTTATAGTACAGATTCGTAACTGCACCGGAAAGCAATGGAAACCTCCCACACCACACTTAAACGAAAGAAAAAGGTGGCAAAAAAAATCATTATACAATAATAATGGAAAATTGCACTGGTTGTAATGAGAGCGAGCGGTTTGCGTAACGCATCCCCAGACGGTGTCTAGTATTATGTAATGCAATACGGAGACCTGAAATAGAATATATTTCGGTTTCAATTTTCGCCAGACTGCGTCGGCTGGGCTATTCAAATAGCTCGCGATGCGAACAGACGGAAAGGGCACATAAACAATGTGGAAATAAGGAGGTTGCAGAGTGGAATGAAAGAAAACGACGAAGATTTGCTGTATGCACGATGGGATTTTGATGCGGGGGTGGATCGACAAAGGAGTGGCGTGTTGGGACAACGAAGGATGGAGGATGACAAAGTCTGGCGTGGCCCTACTATCGGATGACAAATCGGGCCAGACTGCTGGTCTGAGAGGACCACACAACTGAAATCATAAAATGAAGAGGATAAAAATTAAAAAAAAACAAGTTGTTGAGGGAGCGCGCATTCCAAAGTATTCAAGGATTCTTAACACCAAGTCGTAGGCAACTAAATTTACTAATAATCTGTTGATTAGGTTGCCTATAATAAACTATAATTTGTGAGTTGTACTGAACTTGAACTTGTAGTCCATGAATTATTTTCTTAATTGTAGTTAATGTCAAAGAATACAGAAGTAGAAGGATTTAATTTTAAGACTTTAAGACCTTTAAGTAACTGGTTTTTCATCTGCAAGAAAATTTTATAAACTGAATCAAATGTGCTTAATGTATCCAATTAGCTTCTTCAAATATCAAAAGCCAAGCCTCGGAATGCAACGCGCATTCTTACATAATTCTAGTGAAGCTGTGAGTTTTCATTTATATGAAAACATTTTACTTTCTGATGAAAATACAAAAAAACGTTAAGGAATTATGAAAACACTTCACTTTTGATAAAATTGCAAACATATTATAAGATTTTTTTTTTGATATTACTCAAATAAAAATGTGCACTATTCATTATATTATAAATTATACATTTACATCGTTTCATAATTATTGTCTTCCATATACAACTTCTAGATTTAAAGAAAAATAATAATGAGAAATTACAGATGTTCCTATCACAGATGGCAGATATTTCCTTATTATACTGTAACTTTAGTATAATACAAAAATTCAATAATTACATTACAGCGTGCATAAAGTAAACCGTGAAGTAAAATAAATTTTGTAAAATGTACAGTGAAGATGGTTTTAAATAGAAAACAAACTATTTAGAGGATTTTTTTTTACTATATAAAAGAAACATTTGTAGACTTAAAATATCAGTTTCTAAATTTATCATATTATCATCATATTTAGGAATGAAATTTAATTAAATATGATTTGTATCTTAAGTCTTTAAAGAGCCAGACATTCCTAAATTTTTACACCCAAAAAAAATAAATTTTTAAAATGTATTTATAAGAATAAAAATTGCATAGTTTTAAAGAATTCGCTGATTAGGTGGTGGTAATACCTCTTTCTTGAGCATTTTCTAGAAAATTAAGATACAATTAAAAGGAGTTAATATAAAGAATTTTGCTTTTAATATATTACGTATTATATAAGTTCTAGTTGTTATTTGGAAATATATTGTAAACAAAATAATTGTAATTTATTTTGTATTATAAATACAATACATTTGGAGACATGAACAATATTTGGCAAAAAGTAATATATTTTTTGTGTATGTTTTTTAAATAATTTGTTTTTGTTTATGTAAATGTCCATCAAAGAGAAGGAAATCCAACATTGATTAGTTGGATGATTGGGTGATGTTTGGATTGCTCTGAAATAGGAAGGATTGGCCCGGCGGGAACGTAAATACATTCCCCAGTTGCACAGATAGTCATCAAAGGATGTTATTTAATACTGAAATACGCTCAGACGAATGAATAAAAAAAACGAAAAACAAAAAAAAAAGGAATCCCATGTGCATCGTGTATACCGAAATGACTTTCTCCGGCAAATCCTACAAAAAAATGTGTGGTACACACCCAAGGAAACGTACCACCGCGGAATTGAATTTTTGGCTTTGATACTTTCTAAAGCAATTTGCCGCTCGGGACTCAGAAATGCATCTCTAAGTAGGTTATTTAAATGTCCTTTCGCGAAAAAACATTGTCATAATATTTGTGGATCACAATTACTTTCTCCGTTTACCGAGGAAAGCGAGCCGCTAATGGTTTGCATGGATGTGGTTATACGGATCCAGTGCAGTGTTTGTTTAGAATTGGTGGAAGTTATATTTTCATGGTGCACAAAGAGTTCACGGCATGCCCATTGGGCGTGCGAACATTATAACTGATGGTATGGGTATATGGAAAGTGATGGTCGCCGGTACCAATGGGCAGATCGGTGTGGATCAGTGTTCAGCAGCGCTCCTCCGCGGTCCAAGTCTATACCGGAAGTGAGAGGTTTGCATAGAAATGCATCACACCAACTTACTTCTATTCATCTTAACCACTCTTGCTACATCCGAAACAATACAGGTGAGTTCTCCGAATTAATTAGAATTCGTATCAAATCCACTTAAATTAATTGTGTCCATGAGACGATCGAAATCAAAATTAACTTTCTATAAACAAAAGGGCAAATGCAAACAAAAAGCTATGGTGGTGGAAAATATAAGACAAAGGGCTGAAGGAAGACAGCCGGTGAATGAGTGATTTGATATAAGCGTTCAATGGAATTGGTATAATTGCGACATCCGTATTCAAATCAAACTTGGCCTCCATCAGGTTTGATTTGAATACGGCTTCTGAAAAGTCGGTGTTTTAGTTGATAATTCTATAGCACTTTGAAAGCAATTAATTATTTCTTATACCGATGGATGAGAGGTTGCGTTTATGGGTAAAAGTGATTAGGTCAACTATAGAATGGAAATAATAAGAGAACAAAAATAAAACGAATACCGACAACAATAAACCTTTCACCCTCTAAAATTACAAGTGCATTCAAGAAATAAGGACATTCTATTTAATTACAATAGACAATTTGGACAGCAATGACAATACTAATGTAATAATTACAATTAATAATAACTATTATAAATTGATTTTTTTGTTAATATTAACAATATTGTCAAATATTAGCTAATAAAAACGTCTATTATTATATTTCAATAGAATTGGAGTTTATATAATATATCAATTTATTTATATACAATAGGATTAAAATTGTAGTGACTTTAGTTCCTTGATTGATTTGAATTACGTTCGTTGTATTTATAAATAAATTATGAACAATATTGGATGATGTTGTAACTCTGTTTCATATTGGAAAATTGTTGATTCTGCATAGAAAAGATATCTTTATTGTGTACAGAAATAAAATATATTGTCCCAATTATCCGAAGATCATTTCTATTTGTTATTTGCTCGTTCTTTAGGATTTGCCCCTAATAAGCGACTGTCCCAATTAAGCGGAATCGAATATACATAAAAAATGGACCGCTGGAATTTATTATTATAAAAGTATTAATGAAAATATATTTCCTTCCTATATGTAAACTTTAAATAAGTAAAAGTTTGTTAATATGTTAGGACGTGGTGAATATTTGGTTGCCTGCATTAAAAATAATCCGTGAGAGAAATTTAATCCCACTATGCGTATACATTTATTATCCTTGACGTAAATCACATAAATTAATAGACACGGCAATTATATAATTGCATATGGTTTATTAAGAGAAAACGGATTTTCTAATGCTTTTGGTACTCATAAGGAAAATGACGTTTACAACTACGTAAATATACGATTAAATTGCATATTTTCCTATTCCCAAGCGGATGGGGCAGAGGTAACATTGTGCAATTATGGAAGCAAGAATCTTTCAAAATCGCGATCATTTGAAAGTTAACGCGCAATTAATGAATTAGTAATTGATTAATTCTGTACATAATAGTTTCCGATTTTTGCATCATCCAAATTTATTGAAGTGGAAGACTTTCACCGGATTTCACTTTATTAGAATTTATCTCCATCCTAATTCTAATCTATACGTTTGGGTAATTGTAATGAAGAAACTGAAAGCTTTTGCTCCATTTTTCCGCACGTCCGGGGGCGACGGGTGAAGTTGATGAATTGCTGCGAAACCGTTATCCTTTATAAGTCTATTAAATATATGTTGGTGTTTGCAGAAGAGACAGCTGTTCCGAGAGCAGCTTCTCCCTCATATGGGTGGAAAAGTTCCAGAATCTGCGTTCTGGACCGACAGATTGGCTTTGAACCAATTGAACGCTAGAGGAATATACAGTTCCACTGGTATCTATCTTGAGCACAGCCATGATAAGCCAAATCCAGAAAACGGGCATCCTGGAACGCAATTCATGCAGGTAATACTATAAACCTAAATCTAACATCAAGTGACCCTTGATGATCTTCAGGTGAGGGTGCCGGATGAGAGTCGCTATGTTGGATCTGCGGGAAGACATTTCTACGAATCAATACCGTCCTTGGATACTACTTATGTTATTAGAGATCCAGTTCGGATGGTTATCAAACCCCATACTTTCAGGCAGTCCCTTTACATACCGTATACTTCGCTGAAACTGTCCAGGTATTATAACCAGAGGAAGGCGCAGAAGAACAGGGAGGCGCCGTGGAACGATTTGGACGATTTCTCATCACAGGTGAAAAGGACCCACTCCTTTCTCTCCTTGACAAAAACATTGATAACCGCTTTGATTGATTGATTGTCGTTGCAGGCAAAAAGGGAGTACGAGCCCTATCTGAAAAAGCTCCACGAGGTGGATAAGTGATGGCGGAAGGAGGTGGACGAACAGGACGAAAAGGAATACACACATATGAAAGCATGAATTAATCAAAACGAAGCAGAGACGACATTCAAAATAAAACTAACATTAAATCCAAACCGAAATCTTGCATTCAATTTCTCCTTCAATTAATTCCGATATAAACAAACTCTCTGTCGATCAAAATGTTATGTAAGCAAATTTGGAAATTTAGGGTATAATTTGATTACATCATATCACAAATATTTATTGCAACAACTTTAAAACTATAAAATTACAAAAAATTAAATAAAAATACATATTTTATTAATAATCTAAAATTATCACAAACAAATATGTCAATAAAAGTACTGTACAAGATAAGTATTAAAACTCAATAAAAATCATAGAAATTAGAACAAAAAATTAAAATCGTTTGGAAATTTATAAATTAATTGTTACATGAAAACTAATTTAAGCACACTCATCTAACTAATTGCGCATTTGAAAGCATCTGATTACACAACTATTGATATACAAAATGTTAAGTAAGTGTTTTGTTTCTTTTTGCAACTCTCTTATTTTTTTTTCAAAATTAAATTCGCAATTATTGATTTATAATTATTGATAATAATGAAAATATGAACGTAATGAAATATTAAGTAATAAACCTTTTTATTAGAATGTATTTTCGCAACTATTGATTTTGTTTACGTTTATTCATAAAATAAACTACATAAGATTTTTATTTTTATATATTGAATGTTACCTTGTTACGTAACGATGGATATATAAATCGTTACAAAATGTTAAGCAATTCTCGAGATACTATAATTACTTTTTGTTTTTTCGTTAGAATTTTCAAATATTTTGTTTATTTTCATGAGATATTAATATTTTTAATAATTTTATTTAACTATTAGAAAGAAATTGTAAATTCTGATGTTTGTACAGTTTCAATCTTAAATTAATGAATTGATTTTACATCTATTGAAATGTGGTTCAGTAAACTTGAGGTTAAGACTGAAGTGGCTGTTCTTCTCGAGTATTTTCAAACAAAGGATAAGTAGTAAATAAGAAGTGTGAATTTGTCCGTGTCGTAATATTAATAGCAGCATATAACAATGAGTTAACGAGTGGCAGTTATTAAACAGGCAATAAACTATGATCCGATATTAAAATACGCTCACAGCCGGCTGTAAAATGGAGCGTGCCGAACTCGATGATAATTTGCGTTACGCAATACGCCGCGCTTTTATTAAATCCCGGGACACATAGTGTTTGCAAACCATTTTACTACAGTTGATTCCGCTTAATTGGGACATCGGTTAATCGATGGGACAAATCCTAAAGAATGGAAACAAAACTAAGGAAATAACAACAATTTACTGCGATTATTTTTGGGACAATATTCCGTTTAATCGGGACAGTATGAATCATAAAACAGAAGTTGTTGAGATTCTTCGAAATGATTTTCTGATTCATGGAGCGAGAAATGAACGAAAAGCACACGCGATTTCGTAACAAAAGGTGTAGCCTCTCTTTCAACTGTACGAGGGAAAAAAATAAGTTTGTGAGCGCTCGAAAAAATGTGTATTTTTAATGTTTACATTTCTTTTTGAGTTGAATTATCATACCATTATTTTTTCTTCGTTGAGTTTGTTTGGATAATAAAATGCGTTAAGATCATAATTAAATTTTATGTGCTGATGTTATAAAGTTTGATCTGTCTATAAGCAATTGTTTTTTTTTTTAAATTTATAACTGAAGGACATAATTGCTGCAGTCGCGAAATTAAGTTTTTTTAATTACATTTTTTTTTGTATTTTCGTCAAATTGAATATAAAAATGAATAAAAATAAAAACAAATTAATTAATTTATAAGGATAAATTTAATAATTCATAACTATTGCAAATGGCACAAAAAGTGTGGAACAAATAATGAAATTGTAGTCAACATAAAAATTATAACATTTTATATAACATATTTTATTTTTTTATTGCAAAAATCTTGAATGATTATTTTCAAACTATTTTAATCATTAATTATTTCATTAAGGTCAATATCAATTATTCCATTATTGTAATGTAATTATTATACATGACTTTACGTAACGTAATTTGAAGTTGTTTTTTCATAATTTATTGTTTTGTAAAAATATAATATAAATATATATTAGACTTATATAATTGTACAGATAATTTCAATATTGTATTCGAATAACTAAAAAAAATGAATTGAAACAAAACTTATCGTTGATTTGAAATTTTAAACAGTTCGTAATTATTGAGTTGTGGTAAAAACCGTTTGAAACATTTACAGTGTACAATTAGCAAAACGGGAATTATCGATTTCATTTTATATGCATCAAGAAACGAACAAACCGAAAGCTGCAAGTGGAATTTGAATTATCAATGTGTCGCATTAATCGACTCTGAAAAACTTTTGTAAATTGTTTCAGGGTGACTGTAAATTACCTGCATTTATATTTGAATTCATTCTAATTATTGCGCTTTCACTGAAAAGACAAATTACAGTAAAAAAAATTAAGGTAAACATTTCAGGTGGGTTGATTAATGTTCATAAGCTGAAATATTTTCAACATATATTATTATTTGCTATTCCTGGTAATTTTTCAATCGATACAGCTGTGCATTATTCTCCGATCTATCAATTATAAATTGGGTTTGTCGGTTTTTGAAAACCGGATTTTAGATAAAATTTGTGTAATTCGAAAATCGGTTTTTGAGCATACACTTAAAATATAAAAAAATAATGAATTATTTTAATTAGTTGATTAAAAACATAAAAATCTTGTCACAAAAGTAAATTGAAAAAATGAAAACTGAAATTAGTTTTAAGTTTAGTAATAAATTCATAAATATCTTGAAGAATCTGAAGATGTGATTTTGTCCTGCCCCAACTAACTTAAAAAAAGGAAGTTTCATTATCGACAAAAACAAACACGAATAATTTAGTTTATCATTTAATGATCTGAAGACGATTAAACCCAGCATTTTGTATTTTTGGAAATTTTGAATGTGCAATAGATCCGTGTGAGCAATAGAAACTAAGTTGTACTGTATATTTTTGTGAATATTTGAAAACCGGTTTTGTAGAAAAGTTAAGATTAGAATACCGGTTTTTGTATAAACCCTAATTTGAAGCATTATGTTAATAATTAATTAATACAAATTTTGCTTGCATGGAAGCACATACATACTCATATACATTAAATTGGATGTGTGTATTTTGTATGGGTATGTATGTATGAACACATCCCTTTCAAGTATCTCCGTCCATTTTATCGCATGGAAAATAAGCCGGAGAGTGGTTGGCTTTATTAGCAAAAAAAGCGGTATGCTTGCCCGTTTCAACCACAATACCGGAACAAAATAATAATGATGGTAGTGAAGGGATGCTTTTGAAAGGGTTTTTTTTTTTGGATTGCTACCATTCAGTGCGTTCTTGAATAGGTTTGTCGATTTTGTAGAAGCTCATCCTCCTATTTCGTATTAGAGAGACTTTTCAGGTGACTTGATATGTTAAGTAAATATTTGGATTAAAATTTGTCACTTTAATTTCAATTAATTCTGAAATTTTTAATAATTTGAAAAATAAATAATAAGTTTGTTTATTTTTATTAATAACAAATAATTAAATAGTTTTTGTTGGGTGGTAAATTATTATTAAATCTAGATCCCGTCATTTCCGGTCTTTAACCTTCCGACATATGACAAACATCCATTTACCATCCAATCCCTGTGACCTTTCTGTGTCCTTACCAATAATTCGACAACCTATTACCCATTCCATAATCCTCCTAATGACTTCCTTTATATGAAGACCAAAATTGTTCCTCTCCTCGATAAACTTCTATCCTTTACCCTTAACTTTATTTCAAAAAGGACCATTCCAAATCTCTCAAAATCTAAATATCCAAATCAAGTGTATTCTAATTCCTACATACTTATAAGGACAAGTATGTCCCAGTTTTTTTTCCCAAAATAATACTAAATAGTTTTTAATTGGTTTCAAATTTATGTTTTAAGTACAGATTGAGTTCATGTAATTGTAGTAACAATTTGTAGTGGATGAAGTAGCTGTGAATCAGGACGCGAAATTGAAACGCACCGTGTCACGTCCAACACGCGCATAATTTATTTCGGGTCTTGCGTAAACGCACAAATCATGTTCACATAAATGCACCTCTGTGTAACGTTTTGCACGCGATAAATCACGTCAATTTAACATGCAGGATATCAGCTCGGATTAATAATCTTGAGCGTGCGCCACTCCCGTCTACAACGTCGTTTTCAACGCGCAGTGTGTACGATCCACTATTTGAAAATTTGCCGGAAATGCACAAATCATGTTCTCATAAATTCAACGTTATCTAATATTAAATCACATGCAATTTACACATGCTCAATGTGTGATTTGACGTACAAAATGACATTTGACATTTCCAAATATTCAATTTGTTTTTTGTAAGTAATTTTTATTACATAAACTAATAAATTTTGAAATAAAATATTTATTAAAAATAATAATTGATTTTTTAATGCACCGTAGAAAAGGTTGGTACACACCACTCATCATTTGTTACGTCTCTAGGGAATCTATAAATTACAATAAAATATGTGCGTTCATAAATTACTTAGTAGTGTGTACCTTTTATACAAATTATTTAAATAAAAGTATATAAGTACATACAAACTTTAAATCAATAAATAAAATTATAATGAACAATATTAATTACATAAATAGTTGAGACTAAAAAAAATTAATTACGTTTTTCGTATTTGTTTGTTCTCGTTGTGCGGATATTCTTAACGACATCCTAAATCCGAGAAAACCGAGCACTCGAATTAATTGCATAAGTATGTTAATGAATACTGGTTAATTAAACGTGTTTATCTGCTTGCGTTGGCAGGCGATAGAAATTGATCCTTAAAACTAATTAACGCTGAGTAAATAAATAGTTGAGAATAAATCTGAATCGGATCGACTGTAAATAAGTGGACATATTAAGTGCGATTTTGCGTTCGTATTGAATGACTTTTTTTTTTATATATTTATATTGATATTTCTGACAGATTTGTATGTCTTGTTTTATGCCTTATGTAAATATAATAGATATAATTACGTAATAATATAAAATTTGGTCATCTACAATGTTGATGTGTAATAACCTTTAAATAAATAATAATAATACAAATATTTATTGAAATAATCTCAAAGAATTATACCTACATATGTAGGTATAATTCATAGTCCAGTTTTTCTCTAACAATTATTTTAGTTTAAGCTCACATATACATGCATTAAACGTATGTTCGATAATATTTTTTATCAGCGTACCATTGATAGTCGTTGGATATGCATGGAGTTTAATAATAAACTATTATTACAGTTTTACTGAAATGAAATTGTAATATGTAGAAAAATTAAATACGGAATATGGTGCATAATGGTAATGTGTTCGTTCATTTGAAAGTTTCAGTACGTTCCTACGAACATAAAGTGTTTATAAGAAGAATCTTCAAAATATATTTTTATGGGGATTTATTGTAAGATTCATATGTATATGCTTAGTGTATAGTAATAATTTTACTAATTATGAACGTAAAATGAGCGCTAATTCTTAGTTAATGTTCTATTTGGATTAAGTGATTTATCCTTTATTTATCAATTTAAAGTTATGGTTAATTATAATTGTAATGATTTTATATTATTTTTATTACTGGTCGAGTTATAAGTTCGTAGGGGTGCGCCAACATTGAATCATCGAGTTTTCTGGTTTATCTAAGTTCAAATGCGTTCTGCATACGAAAGTCTCGCTTGGGCACCGATGTTTTGGAATATTAAAGCAACTGTATGATTATTGCCGAGGGCCTCATTTGTATTCTAGGGTGCTGATTTGGTTTGCTGAAATAAAGTGGAAGGAGACGCGGCAAAGGGGGATGCAAAAAGGAGACGCACCGCGGATTCCCTTCCATCTTCCAACCAAAGAAGATTCTCACCCTTTTTTACCCTATTTTATTTTATTTATTTATTCGTTTTACATCATTATTTTTTATTTTACTTTTCTTCTTTTGGATGGAAACCGGAAATTTCCGGGAGACGCGCATGCCCACCTAGAAAACTGGGTGTTAGTGCAAACGGCTGAAAACATATGGGGAAAAAGAAAAATAGGAGGACGTTACGGTGTGGCGATGCGCATTGCCTGATACCGTAGTGCGCTTCAGTTTTCAGTTTTCAGCTTACAGTTCGTTCCTCGACGTCGAGCCAACTACCACGACCCACGACTCTGCTGCAGAGACGCTCCGCTTCGTTTCGCTCCTGTTGCTGTTCTTCGCCGCTCAAAATTAACAATGAGTAAGTGACACTTTTTTTATGGCCACTTACAAATTATTCTGTAGCAAAACACAGGAAAACTGTTCAATAAGAAAATACATTTTTAAAAATTTTCAATTTTTTTTTTTCAAAAATGTTATGCAATATTGTAAAAAAAAGTCACAATTTCATTTGTATGCATATAATTTAATCAAAACTTTACTGAAGTAATGTGACTTAAACTTTCCAACTAATACACTTTGAGAAAATTAGGCGCACTGCGTCTGACTGAATGTCTTTTTCGGGATTTTACAAAAAAAAGAACAAGTATATTATTTATGTATTTGCATATCTTCATTCGTTTATTTTAATTGTATAAATTCAACAAAATTTATTTAAATAATTTCAAACATTATTGATATATTGATTTGAAAATATTGATTATTTATTTAATTAATTAATACTTTTTATAAACAGATAAAATCTAACATTTTTAATATAATTTTTACAAAATTAATTGGTGTTAATATTTTGATTAATTAAAAAAAAGTTGTCTTCTGTTCATAATATAATTAATTATTCCCATTTTATATCTATGAAGTTATATTCTTAATAAATGTTATTAAATATACTAATTTGACAAGAAAACTAAAGATTTTATTGTTAATTTTGAATAAATTAAAAATAATAAATTAAATATTGACATTTTTTTATTAAAATGCAGAAAATATGTAATTAAAATTTTAGAGCAGGAAACGTAATGAAAATTTGTTGGAAATCTATTTATTTGGTTGGAGATTATATAAAAAATATAGGTATTGACAACAACATATACACTGTCCATTAAAACGTATCAAATTTACACGTGTATTTTTGCATTCAATAACGTTCTAGAAAATAACAATTAAACATTTATTTCTGTGTTTTGCTACGGTTTCATTATTAAAATAGATTTAATCGGGTAAATGTACTTTTAAAAAAAATAAATATACGTACGCACATACGTTATTAATACGTTATTAATTTATATTGTTTTTAAAAAATGAAGTTTACGCTCGACATGCAAGAATACCTTTTGTTCATAATTCGATTGTCCTGGTTCTGCGTGGACAATGTTGTCCACTCTATAAAATTTAATGTATAGCATTAGTGAACCAAAAACAATACGACCTTTGTCCTTATTATTTAGGAAATATTGGTTGTTTGGTATTGTTCTATACATCAGAGATATGAAACAACGCAATTAATTGGGACATTTGTTGATTCCATTTCATATTACCCGGCGCATCCACGTTATGATTATTCTTTTTACTAAATAAAAAATTATATTTTTTTTACGTATATTTTTTTTGTATATTTGTCTAATTTTGATACATAATTTGATTTATATGTGTTTGGCAAATCCGCATTTTTTGTCTCTTCTAATAAATACATTTGGTATTTTTATATGTGTAATTTATAGGAAACAAAAAAAACTCAATGATTAAATATACTTTTACATTAAAATAGTAATTTGGTGATATTTTATTATAATAATTACTAACAGAAATAATGTACTTGGAACAAAAAAAATGAGTAGGCGAATCCACCAAAAATAATTAAAATAATTAGGTATAAGTGGTAATATTTTCTCTATTTAAAATAATGTTTAGGTGGTACAAATTGGGAAACTCTAATATATACTGCTTTTTTTTTGATAAACTTTACTTTAGAGAAATATTTTAATGGGAAGTATTATGTAAAACATAGTTGATTCTAGGAATAAAATATGGAAACTGTAAGGGAGAAAATAATTATAAATCGAAAATGAAATGAAATAAAATCAGAGTTTGCTAGTTGATGTGGAATTGCGAAATAATTTGTCCGGTCAGTGGATGGCAAAAACGGACATCATCTTTATTGGACATACGGTGAACGCACATGTTCAAAGTCCTTTGAGCTCATGACAATAGGTAAAAAGTGTTTCATGGAAGCCGTGCATATGTATACCTGCTAATTAGTTCAAAGCGCAATAATATTGTTGAAATTCATTACGAGTTCGAAGCGTAATTAAATCAAGCCGACAATGTACGTGCATTTTGTTGTTCCACTTTTGCTGTTGTTCTTGTTTTCGTATTCATTTAGTTATCCTTTAGTAATTTAATTTACAAATTCATATAGAAACATGAAACAACCATTAAAATAATCGATTTCATTATAATCATAGATTTTAATCATAGATTGAAAAATTTAAATCAAATATGAAACTACCCTAACATTATTCATTTTTTTTATATACTCTTAGACAGGTCCGTTCTTTGGATTTTGAGGCCCCGGGCATAAATATGAAATGGGGCCTACAATGGAATAAAAAAACTGTTCGAGGGCCCAAATTTCGTGAGGCCCCGGGCATTCTTACGTTAGATATTAAAAGAAAAAAGTCAATCTTCTTATTTGTATAAATCAATCAGATCTGATGATGTTATCTTTATATTAACTAGGCGTTTCTGAAAGTTCGACTTTCAGCAAATTTCATTCCGACGCGCAGTTTCATTTCCTATATAGACTTTAAATTAAATTTCTCTCTATTCATCGACTTCCATAAACATTCGATACCCTCTCGAAATGTTATTTCAACTATATTCGAATTATTGTTGTCATTTCATCTACTTTTTTTTATTACTACAATAAAATTCATGTAAACCAAAAACTGATGACAGTTTTTATTATTTATTATTTAAAATATATAAAAATTCTGAAGTTTCATATTTTAATTTACAAATATTAAAAAAAAATCATTTTTTTTATATAATTTTTCTAAAACAAGAAAATATCTTTAGAATTATTTAGAATTTATTATTTGCAATACTTTTCAATACGTCTATAACGCATTCAGTATAATTTTATGTAAAGTTTTTTTTTTTAAGTTTTATGAATATATTTATCTAATTAACGTTAAAGCAATTAAAAAAATACTAAAATAGAAATACGTTTTCTGTGCATTAAAATATATTTAATTATGCACGGATTTCTAATAAATTGACATTGAAGTAAATATAGAATGCAGGTGAATCCTTTCAAATAAATTATGTGAATACTAATGTAGTTATCTATTTATGGGCAGCCGCAGATTCCTCTGTGGATATATAAAACATTCATTCAATTACTTCCTATTTAGTTATTCCGCATCCAAACGAGGCAAACTTTTAATGCTGGAAAGAAAGGGAGAAAAAAAGGAGGACAGATGCAAGTTATGTCCTTTTCGTTCTTTCTACATAAATACGGTTAAAAGGAGCACGGCACATTCGTACCGAGTTTTATTTATCTATAAAACGCGGAATAATACACCTCTTCACGTTTTACTGCTTCCACAACGGTACTTCCATTTATTTTGCATTACTACAAAATCGATTACTTCCTTGTAAATTTATATATTTTTTACATATACTTAATCAAACCTAACCTAATTTAATATAATTAAAAAAAACAAAAACTTAACATAACTTTTTATTATAGGAAATTAATGGAAATAATTTCAATCTTTTTTTTGTATAATCACTTGAAACTGAATAAGTTTCATGATTTTTGTAATAATTTTGATTTTATATAATATAAGTATAATTTTAAGAAAAATTTGGTTTTCGAACAGCCTTAGCAACGAATTATGTTCGACAACCGAAGTTCTATTATATCTATATTTTTATCTTAGAACAATTTCATTATCAGGCATTTTTTCGATTATAATTACATTTGAGATGAATTTTGCCAAATTTATATTGTTTTTTGCTAAAGGAATGAAAATAATTTCATAATTTTATAATATGAAATTAAATAAAAAAATCAATTGATTTATTAAACTAACCTAAACTTCAATTGAAATATAAATGAAAATACTGTCACAATTTTCAAATAATTTTATTATGTAGATTTAAGTAAGAAAAAAAAATCAAATAACTTTATTTATTTTTATAACAAATTATTCAGGTTTTTGACATTAGTAAACTTATATAAGCATTTTTTATATAACCAATAAAAACTTGACACAACATTCCTAATATTTGTAATCAATTGGATAATTAATGTTAATAATTAAAAAGTTAAATTAAATTTTTACTTATAATTGTAACTGAATGGAAAGAAAATGTTTATTTATTAGGTTAAAAACAAAAGTTAATTTCTAATAATTTTGATATTGTGAACTATTAATATTGATAAATATATATGTAATAATTTTATGTGTTTGTAATTAAAAGTTTTTTAATTAATTTGATGCGTTTTTGCTTGATTACTAAATCAGGTTTGTAAATGTATCTTATGAATAAATTGACTTCTCGAATTTTCATATTCATAACTTGTCTCAATTACTGAATTAACACAATTTCAGTACAAGGATAATTGTAAATATGTAAATTTCAATTCAGATTAAAAAATTCTTAAATTTTGAATATTTTAAAAAAAAATGTTTTCATGTTTCTAAACTTTATATCAAAGATATTCTTGAAAATAATTTTCCATTTGGAGAAATGAAAATAATTTCATTTTTTTAACTAATTCTTGGATTTTGTAAATGTTCAATGATTTGTTTTTTTTTTCATTTTTAAAAGCGTATTGAAAGCGAATAAAATAAAATGTGAACATAAATATAAGTTATGATTAGTTTTTGAATCGATCTAAAATTGGATTTATATCGAATGAAATAATTAAAAAGTTTTGATTGCATAATACCAATAACAAACCAATACGTTTCTCCTATTCCACATTAATTTACTTTTTCCCTTCCGCAAAAGCCATTCGCAATCACGTGCACCTTTTTTTTATATCTAGATCAAAACGAGACGAGGAAGCAGGAAAAAAAATATATAAAATAGAACATCGTTATTGACATTAAAAACAGAACTTTCGCGAAGAGTAAATATTTTCGCACGAAACTTTTTCTATATCGACTTACGCAATTTGCCACCAAACTCTGAAAACTTTCAATCTTGTGCTGACTCCTTGGAAAAGGCTTTCATCGACGTTATAAAACTTTGACGAAAGAATCGTTTTCATATACATTTGCGTGT